TAGGATTTCTACGTAGAGAAATGGAAGAGACATCATAGAGCAAACAGAAAAGGCTTCTGCCGCCAAAAAGTCCAAACCATGCACAGAGGCAAAGGTCAGGCTGTCATTACTCATTTTCTGTTCAACTAATCTCTCTATTCCATGTGACTTTTGCCTGACATTATGCGATGTTTTTTCCTTTACGTGTATGGACAACTTTGGTTTAAAAACAAGGAAACCTTTAAAGGTCTGAGGACTTAGCACTGCTGGAAGCCTCTGGATTTCCCAGGGCAAGTCCCTTTCTCCCAACAAGTCTTGATATTATAGTGTTCAGTTGCCAGGATGTTGCTTCTCAACCACGCAATAACCAAGTGTTCCCACGTGGGGAAGAGCAAGCGGATGTATTTGGTAACATCTCAGAATCAGAATTTGGAACTGGAGGACCAAAGCTGTCCAAATGTCTGATATTATGACCCACTTGGATGTGGAGAAACCTTTCAAGTCCTTCTGGGCTTCGTTCTAGGCTCAGAACTCTGTGACAAGAAGTGTGTGACGAGCAGTGTGGAGCAGTCTGACCCTGAGACAAATGGTGATGATTAGTTTGCCTAGTCTGTTTCACATCAGGGCATCCAGGAGTTTATCTCAATGATTCACTCATCACTTTGCTAGGCATGAAATTTAAGACAAGATTCCCAGTTTTCAAGGAGCTAATCATCTAGTTGTGGGGATAATACATTTTAAATACTACGTTTGTAGTGTGTGGAACACAAAAGCTCGGCCATTCAGACTGGCCTTGAGCCCAGAGCATGGTCAATTCAATACAGTAAGAATCCATGACTGATTTCATGATNTACTAAAGTTCTGAATGTCAGGCACTTCCTGAAACATTTACATTATTTTTCGTTCACTAAAAGGGAAGGCTAATAATGGTCACTTCATATTTAATACTAATAGTATAAAAGGACTACAGGCAACTCGAGGCACTCTTTCAGGTCACAATAATCTAAACCTCAAAGTATTTATCTGCATCTAACATAAACTCACTGTGCTAAGCCCCTGATGGCCTCAAGAAATCAACTTAGAATCATTATCGTTAGGGCTACTCGGGGAGTTAAACTCCCTGTCCAAGGTTACGCAGCAGAGAGGAGGGCAGACGGCTTTGAGACTCCTGGGCAGAGGCGACCTTGACTTCTAGCCATCTTTGTACATTTCAGAGGACTTTTTAGGACAATGTCTCACACAGACGGGGTGCCCAACTAACTTTACTGACACTGTCCAGGTTCTCGGAATGATGCTCAGTTCGATACTCGTTCAGGTACTCCAAACAGATGAAANGTCCAAGGTTACGCAGCAGAGAGGAGGGCAGACGGCTTTGAGACTCCTGGGCAGAGGCGACTCTGACTTCTAGCCATCTTTGTACATTTCAGAGGACTTTTTAGGACGTCTCACACAGACGGGGTGCCCAACTAACTTTTACTGACACCGTCCAGGTTCTCGGAATGATGCTCAGTTCGATACTCGTTCAGGTACTCCAAACAGATGAAACCTCTCAGCTAAAATAATGAAAAAGAGGCTTTATAGAGCACAGTAATCAGGTACGAGGAGAGTCACGTTAATGGCAGACAAGTGCCCAGTATTTAGTAAACACTGTACAGTGAGGACTGCAAGGTCAGACTGAGGGAAGGCAAGGACTCAGCGTGGGAAGGAAGGGACAGACAGTGAGGGCTGTAACTCCAGGAGACGTGCGCGCAGCTTCAGGCAGGGGAAGATGGAGTGATTGGGGCTTGGGGGTCAGGTGAGGACTACATGGGAAGAGTCGCCAAGGGCCCGCGGACCCGGGCTCTCCGTCCCCGCTGCCCGGGGGTCGGGGGCGGCCCGGGCGGGGCCTTACCCTGACGTCGGGCCCCTCCACCAGCTTCAGGGCCTGCGCCTCGAGCAGGTCGGCCCGCAGCTGCACCAGGAAGCGCACGCCGCCGTCCAGCTTGCTGATGTGGTGGAAGAGGCCGCGGTAGCGCGGCACCAGCGCGTAGCGCAGCCGGTCCTCAGCCTGCAGCAGCACGGCCACCTCCCGCGGCCG